CCGACAAATTGATAGCATTCCATCACTCAGCTAGACACCCACACACCTGCAAAAGCTTCATTTATCTCACAAGTGTTTGGTTTTCTCTAAAAGACAGAGGAAGGAACATAGCCTTGATTACTCAGTAGACATGACTGGAACCCAGTTCCTGCCAGATACAGGCTGAGTGATACAGGATAAGGTGTTTGATCTCAGGGAGATGACAGTGATCATATTACCTGCCCTCACTGGACTGCTGTGAAAATTAGGTGACATAATACTCACATAATAAACCTGTGAATAAATGCAGTAGTTATTCTTTTCCCTCTCCTTCCAATTAACCCTATGCCAGTACAGTTCTGGGTGAGGCTAAACCCTCACTGAAAATAAATCTTACACTTCTAGAGCTTCTTTAGAGAAACTACTTCATTAAAAATGGTGGGAGGGAGCAATCCTAATGTGTCTTGTATCCCAGGGTATGGGAAGCAGTGCCAATGTATTAGACTAATTCATGGGTGTTTCTGAGGTCCATTCTTTGCTCAGCTCATGCTTCACTTTCATTCTAACAAAGATTTACATAAGCTCAAATTTTTAACACATTTTTTTCTTTGTATTGTAAACCACATCACTGAAATACACCAAGACACATACATGGTCATGCACCTTATGAAGATGATTGTACCTTGAAAATAGCAAAGTTGCCCCAGAGAGTGCCGCCAATGAGACCTTACACACTGGGGTCAAACTCTCTGGATCCTCTACTTACAATCTGGGAAGTCCCGGTTGAATTACTCAGTTATCCTCATTTTCAGTTTCATTATCTGCAAAATGGGGATATGATAAATAGGATCTTCTTTAAAGTGTTGCTGTGATAATTAAATGAAATCATCTACATAAAGCATGTAGCCTATCGCCTACCTTGCACTAGACAATACTCACTATTATTCGATTTGTTGCACTATATTTGGACCATTTCCTGAATCACCCAAAGCCTACAGATTGAAAAATAATAAGACAGTTGTCCCTCTGTAGCAGCAGGGCATTGGCTCCAGCACACATACACACCCCTGCCCTGTGGATACCGAAATCCACAGATACTCAAATACTTTAAATAAAATGATGGAGCATTTGCATATAATCTGCACACATCCTCTTGTATACTTCAGATCATCTCTAAGTTACATATGACACCCAATTCAATATAAATGCTATGTAAATAGCTGCAAATACAGTGTAAATACTATGCTGGGGAGTGGCAAGTTCAAGTATTGCTTTTGGGGACTTCTTGGGCATTTTTTCATGGATTTTTTTTATTTGTGGTTGGTTGAATCTATTCACGTGGAGCCCATGGATATTGATGGCTGACTATAATCAAAATTTTAATCTAAGCTCTCAAAGGAAGCATTTATAATTTGTCCCAAGTGGCATGGCCTTTTTAATTAGCATAAATCCCATTTAGAGTTGGTTCAGTTGCTGTGCTCAGGCATTTCCTGCCCAAAGACAGGGGTCTAATGGAACGAATACGCCATCAGGAGCCAAGAGATGTGGCTTCTCATCTGAACTAGTCCACCAACCACTTAATTGACCTTGATCAGCTCTTCCCCATATCTGGTTCTTAAATTCCTCATTAGTTTTATATATATACATACATATATGTAGCCAAGTTCTCTTCTAGACCAAGGACTCAGTGAGGTATAAGGGCCCAGTGGTCATTTCCAAGGACACCTTTCCTATAGGTCCCTGGAGAAGTGGAGAATTCCACTCATTGGTAGAGGATCTTTTAGGAAGCGAGGGAATGAATAAGGACAAAATCTTTTACTAAGACAAAAGACCACATGCAAGATTATAATTCCCCTTAAGAGAATTCTTCATAGCATGGTTAACCAATCAGCCAGCAACATTTTAGGAGACCCTACTGAGTACAAGGCATAATATTGTACAGAGAAATAGCAGACAGCATTCTAGAAGGCAGCACTGTGATTGAAAAGCTGGCTTCAAAAAGGTAACAAGTATAGCAACAAAATACGTAATTAATTGAATATAGGAAACTGATTATAGAAAATTGACCATAGAAAATTGACTGTGTAAGGTGATCATGTGCTATAAGCACTACAGTAAGTATTTTGCATGTATGAACTCATTTCATCCCCCCAACAAGAGATAGCTTTTACTATTATGCTCATTTTCTGAATGAGAAAACTGGCACAGAAGACTTAGTCACTTAGCCCAAGTTTACATAGCTAGTACGTGCTGGAGCTGAGCTTCGGATCCAGGCAGCCTAGCTCTAGATTAGCCCATGCTCACCATTGAGATGTGAAAGAATAAGTGGGGCCAAGTAAGGACAGAACAGAGGCCAGCTAACGAGCCTAACTATGGCAGGAAGGAGACTACGTATGCCTTAATATAGCTGTGAACCAGAGTGCTCAGACCTTCACAAGTTAAGAGGAAGTGAAATGAATCACCACTCAGTCTTTGTACCCTGTCATCCTGAGCCAATTAAGAACTTCCTTTCCATAATTCTGTCTCCTTTGCATTTCCAAAGTTACAATGCACTCCATTATGAAATCCAGAATTTTGTATTTGATTGATGTCATCTTCACAAAAATAGTAAGATTCTTTCTTCATGGGACTGTGATATGCACTGGAGTTCAAACATAAAAATAATAGAATTTATTATTAAATTCTAACATAATAAAATACAATAAGATGGAATAGCATTGCAAAACCTATGGATGGTATTAATCCCCCCATTTGGCAGAGAGGTTAAAAGGCACTGGCTTTGCTCACAGTGAAACAGAGTAGAAGACCTGAAGGCAAAGTATGTCTTCCTACTTTGTCACCAACCAGCTTGCCATCCGAATAAAATGAATAACATAAAACCGTATGCATTTTTGTCTGGACAGATGATGAATATGTGAGATCAGTAAAAACGTTGAAGAGAGGAGTCAGAGACTCAGGCTTGGGATCTACAGGAAAGGACCTTTTCACAGTGAGAGTGAGCCCCAGTGGGAAAGAAATCCTTTGCGAAAGAATGAGCTCTCGGGCACTGGCCACGTTCCACTTGAGGGTGTTTGAAACTCTAGGGTGCCCCGCCCCAGCTCAGAGAAAAGAAACCCGCTTCCACCAACAAAGCAGAAAAGGTTTTCTGATGCTAATCAGCAGGCGTTTGAGTGGACATCAGGAACGTTGCGGAAAGGATTCCTGACGGCAGGGGTCCATTATGACTCCAAGATGCTGTGATGATGGTAGTGATGATGGGGTGATGAGGAGGATGCTAATGATGAAGATGAAGATGAAGAAAAGGAACAAGAGAGAAATTACTTACATGAAAAATTATTACTGTTGTTTTTAAATTTCATTATCAAATCTATATAAGCAAGCTGGTTTGAAATTAGTCAGCCAAGAAAGAATAATTAGATCTTGTGCACTTGGTTGTTAGAAGGAATTCAGACGTTGATCTTTCCTTGAGTTACCTGCTTTGTGGCTAACTCATTCATTTTCGCACTGGTATGTGTAGGTCTCTATGACGGCACCCTGTTCTTGGGCAGCGCTCTTGAGAACTGACAGTAACAGGGATTTTGTGCAGTTTTATCAGGACTGAGGATGGCTGTAGTGATGCTTCAGGGGCGTGTTCCCAGTTGCCCTCTAGATACTGAGCAGATTGTCAGCAAGTAGACGGAGGCCTCGACTCCAGGGAGCAGAAAAAGCATTGCCCTGCAACGGCGATGAATGTGCAGTCTCTGAGCAGCACTGCGCTTCCCCCACGTCGCTCACCAGTTACAGGTCACTGTCATTCTCCAAATCAGAGCCATGATGTTGAGCAGTGAGTTCAGTCTAAAATCCAGACCACATCAAGAAGTAGGCAAGAGGATAAAAATCATGTAACCACTGATTGTGCCTCCCATACCAACAGCAGGTTGGACTAATTTTATCATTTCACTGATCTGACCACAGACTTCTCTTGGAATTAGGAGCAGAGAGCCTGAGATGCTGTGAGAGCTCTATTTACCAGCTTCCTTTATAAAATAACTGTGAAATTCAAATCAGAGATCATAAAGTTCCAGAGCCAGGCTTAGCTTTCAGGTCCCAGCCCCAAAAATGTTCTGTGCAACATCATTTGTGACAAGTCACTAGACCTCTCTGGCATTGAAGTAAAAAGAGGGACTTGATTCAGGCTGACTTTAAGATCTTTCTCAGTTTCAAAAAATCTTTCCTTCCTTGTGAAGAAATTGGACTCTCCCTTGGTTTAGTGACTCAAAGATGGTTCAGGAAACCAGGCAGGACTAAGGCAAGTACATACACATTCAGCGCTGACCTTCCAGGAGCTTTTAAGGCTGGGCAATGAAATTACTGAGTACTCTGGATAATCAAAATAAAGTTACCACCATTCCCCAGGGCCACCTCAAGCAGACAGCAGAAGGGCAGTCAAGCATATTGGCCGATCTCTTGGTTTCTCTCATGTGAAATGAAAGGGCTGCCCTTGCTGGAGATTTCTTTGTCTGCTTTCTATTCTAAGATTCGATGAATTTATTTTTCAATAGTTTTTATGAAAAAGGAGACTCTCTGGTAAGCCATTTCCTTGGGTCCCCAAATCTAACAAGAAATAGAGCAAGATCCTTAAATGTGTTAACGTTTACTCATGAAGAAAGTCAATGTGAATTTGATTTGCTGCGTAAATGGATGTGTGCTCTTGTGTTTTGTTAAAATGACGTTAGTTTAGAGGGAGGAGGAGAACTGGTTTATGAGCTCATGCGAAGTCCCTCTCCCCTTCCCTGTTACTGTGAAGGGAATCATATTTGCCCCTGGGCTCTCACTGGAGGATTGGTGGGACGGATGGAGACAATGCTCTATGAAGGGTTTATTAATGGATTCCTCTTAGTTAAATATATATATATAAAATACCTAGTCTCTTCTTGATGTTTCCCCTTAAAGCCAAACGCTGGTAAAACTTAACTCTTCCAAAAGTCCAACTCTGCTGCAAAGTAAGTCATTCTCCTTCTTTTTTTTTTTTTTAATTACAGTATTCTCAAATGAGGGATGAAGTATTCAAGTCAAACTTGGTCTGTGCATTTATCGTCCTTCTGTTTATCACGGCAATACAAAGTTTGCTTCCTTCTTCAAGGTAAATATGAAAGGACTAAGTTATCAAGGGAAATGTTTTTGTGAGCTGATGGGCCCTCGCCTGGAGCCAGCTGACCTTTTCCAGGGATCAGAATTTAAAATAACCAGATCCAAGATTCATACCAAAATGTTTGCTGACATCAGTGTCTATTCTGGTTGTCCCACTCCACATAATATTCTCATTGCTCTGCTAAAGCAAGAGCTTTTTCCCCATCTTAATAAAGACAACAACCCAGGCCAAAATAGGCTTCCCTCTTATTTGACATCGCACCCACGAATGCAGAAAGTAGGTTTCAGTTCTTCCGTTACCACTAACTTGCTCCGTTGTTAATTACCTCTTTGTTGTTCATAAGATACAGCATCACAACTTCCGGGGGCAGCAAAATTGGCACTTTAATGCAAACACCCATCTGTGGCCAGTCACTGTTCCAGATACTTTACACACAATAACTCATGGCAACCCTATGACGTAGGTCCTGTAATTATCCCCATTTTAAAGAGGAGAGAACTGAGGCTCAGAGAAATGAAATAAGTCGTTCAAGGTCTCACAGTTGAAAAATGTTACAGCCTGGATTCAAACTGAGGAAGTCTTGCCCCAGAGCCGGGACTCTTTAACACTCTATTAGACACAGGCAAAGCATACAAATGACAGGTGCCAGAGCCGGCATTTGAACCTAGTACAAGATTAGTCCATTGGCCGTGTTTTTTGCTGTCTCCTGCACTGTAAGGTAACCCCTGGCTCTTTTCTTAGATAAATTCCCTTCTCCCTAAACTTACCAGGAGTTTCCTCCTTTAGTGTGGTTAAAAATAACATCAACAAATATTAGTTCAATGTCTAACACAGGCAAAGCAACTTGCTAGCCCCTGAGAATGGCATAATTTTGCAAAGGAAGTCTGCATCCTCTAAGACATAATTTAGTGGGAGAGGGAGACGTTAATAATGGCTTCCAGTTACTGAGCATTTATCATATGCCAGGAAAATGCTAAATCCTTTGCACAAATTGTCTCAATAAAGCCTCAAAAACAACCAATAAGTGAGGCAGCATTCTAATTCTCGTCTATATAATGACTGAGCTGGGATTTGAACACAGAGACAGTCTGTGCTTTTAATTACTTAACTGCTTTGTGCCAAAATCAGTGGTTCATTCTGACTAGGCGGTTTAAGGAAAGCTGGCAGAGAAGGTCACGTTTTGAGCTGAGTAGGATGAAGGAGAAAGGGTGGAACGGTATTCCCAGTTTAGAAAACATGCAGGAAAAAGCACAGAGAAGCAGACGACCCTGTGTTTGCAGCCTGGTGAGTAAATGGGAGAGTCTGAAGTGAAGCATTTGTGCGAGGATGTGGTGGGCACCTTGGTGGAAAAGGGAGGTGAGCCAGCAGGAGTTCAATGTCCACGTGCTATGTTCAGGAGTTTAGAACTGACCCTCGGAGCAGGAAGGAGGCCCTGGAGGTTTTGGAGAAAGGTTGCAGCATGGGTCTGTGAAGGAAAGATGTTCAAATTAACTACCAGTCAGGGAATGGCAGTGCTTGACCTTGTCTAGATTAGCAGGGATATTAAGAGGACAGAAAGGATCCCTAGAAGATGGTGGTAGAAGTAACATATTTCTGAATTTCTCAGAATTCCCACATATCTGAGCAACTAGGTAGCAAAACCAAAACCCTCAAGGACCATATTTACAACAAAAATAGCTTATATGATAGCCCCACAAATTCCAGAACGGGGATGGGTAATGACAGTCTCCCAATAGCCCAGAGACTGGTGTGATATCAGCATCTCTGTGGGAGGAACTGGAAAGAAACAGATGGGCATCTGGGAACAAAGGAGCCCCCATACAGCCAAAAGGTACACTGAGAAGTGTCACGGAATGAACTGCAAAAGCAATTCAAAGTGGGAGGAGTTTTGCCCAATCCAACAACGGGGGCTTGTAAAGGTCTGCAGTTAAGGTCTGAGGAGCTTGAACCATCAAGACACTATGAACTCTCAAAATGACCAGCCAAACCTCCTTCCCAGGACAGGGCCCTCGAGGGAACTGTGTGAATGGAATCAAAATTACTCACAGTGAGAGCAGTCGTGAGGAAGGAAAATGGAGAGTCCAAATGAAAGTAGGGAGGGAATCTAGCCATCATGGTTTTGAACACTATGTGAAAAGAGCTGAAGAAAGAACGCTGTGGAGTCACATCTGGAACCACATCCCTTGCTAAGTGTTCAGCCAAGTTCATTTTACACAAAAAATAGCAACAAAGTGTATTGGTGGCAATCCCATACCGAACTATTATGAGAAAAAAAGAGAATTAAAAGTAAATGGAAAAAAAAGTAGATGAATATCCCAAAAGGCTATGAAAGCACTCGAAAAAGACATACAACATATATCAAAACTTCAACCTGCTATTTCAAAAAGAACTGAAACCCTTCATGTCATTCAAGACATCAAGTAACAACCTAAATCAGAGTTAGAAAAAAACTGAGAAATTCAGGAAGGGAGCTCAAAAAAGAAATAAAAATATAAGAAAGATACATTTCAGAAGTGAAGACTTAACAAGAGGAAACACAGAGCAGATAAACACAGAAAATAACAACTTAAGAGAAATGGAAGGTGGAAAGGGAGAATATTTTTAAAATCAAAAAGAACACAGGGAACTATATTCCATATCTTGTAGTAACTTATGGTGAAAAAGAATCTGAAAACAAATATATGTATGTTCATGTACGACTGAAGCACTGTGCTGTACACCAGAAATTGACACAACATTGTAAACTAACCATGCTTCAATAAATATATAAAAATAAAAATAAAATCAAAAAGAAGATTTAAAGCATTGACAAAGCCCCATCCCCCGAGGCCTTCTCACCGCACCAAAAATCCAGTATATTGTTCGTGGGCTAAAAACTGCCAGAAAGGACTGCAGGAACCAGACTCTTTATTAGGGGAGCTCAACTCAAGAGGGGAGAGAAGAACAAGACATGAGAGGAATCTGAATCCACTGGTACATAACATACAGCAAACTCTAAACATAGCCCAACTCATAGCCAGAGTCATAAAAATCCTTCTAGTAAAGGTCCATTCACCTCTGTTTCTATTACCTGATACAGTATGAGCAGTTTTCAATAGAGAATGACAAGGCACCTCAGAAGGAAAGAAGAGGCAAATCATCCTCGAACCAGACTCAGTTATGACACAGATGCTGAAGTTATCAGGAAGGGAACATGAAATAACTGTTATTAATCTATCAAAGGATCCAATGCAAAAAGGAGACACCATGCAAGAAAAGATGGGCCGTATAAATCGAAGGAAACTCTAAGAAAGTATCAAGAAGACACGCTAGAGCTCAAAACACTGACAGAAATAACGAATGCCTTTGACGGGCTCATCAATTGATTCAACAAGGCCAAGGGAAGAATCAGTGCGCTTGAATATAGGTCAATAGAAACTTCCTAAATTGAAACGCCAAGAGAAAAATGAAAGAAAGAAAGAAAGAAAAGGAAGATCAAAGCAAACAAGCTATCTGGGACAATTTCAAAAGGTGTAACATACACATAATTGGAATACCAGAAGGAGAGAAAAGGAGAACCGAGCAGAAGAAAGCTTTGAGATAATAATGTCTGAACATTTTCCAAAATTAGTGACAGACACCAAGCCACAGAACCAGGAAACTCAGAGAACACCAAGCAGGGTAAATACAATAAATAAGTAACAAAAAAATAAATAAATAACACACTTAAGTAAGTCATTCAAATTGCAGAAAGCCAGAGACAAAGAGAAGATCTTAATAGAAGACAGGGTAATAGGGAGTTGGGGGTAGGTGATGGGAATACTACTTATCTATAAAGAAACAGGAAGAATTGCATCGTACTTCTTGTCAGAAACCATGCAAGCAAGAAGAGAATGGAGTGAAATATTTAATATGTTGAAAGAAAAAAAACCACCAACCTAAAATTCTATATGCTTCAAAAACACAAGAGAAATGAAGACTTTCTCAGAAAAATAAAAACTGCATTTCCAGTTGACTTTCTCTGCAAGAAATGTTTTTTTTTTTAAGTTCTTCAAAAAGAAGGAAAATGATGTGGGTCAGAAACTTGATCTATACAGAGAAAGAAAGAGCTAAGAGAAAGAATAAATGAAGTTAAATAAAATGTTTTTTCTTATTCTTAATTGATCTAACCATTGAGAACAACAATGTTAATGATGTATTCAGTGGCTATAAATAAGGATAATTGAAATGAATGACAGCAGTGTCACTGAGGGTGCTTTGTTTTAAGGTACCTGCATTACACATGAAGTGCTGTAGTGTAATCTGAAGGTAGATCTAAATTGATTTAAAATGCATACTGTAAACTCTAGGGCAAGCACACAAAAAATTTAAACAAATATAATTGTTATGCTAAGAAAGGAAATAAAAATGAAATGATATAAAACATTCAATTAAAAATCAGACAGCATGCAAAGGGAGGGAGGATACTACCTGGGGAGTGAGGAGAGGGGGCGTTAAACAGACGAAGCCCGGGAGATTTTTTAAGGTGGTAAAACTAGCATGATGCTGTAATGGTGTGTCCATGGCCCTGTGAATTTGTCAAATCCTATGGAACTTTACTGCACAACCTTTAACGTATACAATTTTTAAAAATAATTTAAGAGTTCAAGGGATCCCATGATCAGACTGTCATGAAAGAACCTAGCTGTATTAAAAGTGTGAAACAACCTCACTGAAACGGGGGGGAGGAGGGGAGAACAGGTAGTTTTCTAAGTAGGTCTGGAGCTGAGCAGACTCTGTAGGACTAAACATAAAAAGAACTGCACATAAGCACTGAACTTCAATTAATAAAGATGTTTCTCTTGGAGGTATGTGTGAACAGCCTGAACCACAGTATACGTACACGGTAACTGAACAAGGAAGTCATGAATGGCAGATGGTGGGGAGTCACGTTTTTTGTCCTTGGAGTGGAAGGCTACAGATAAACAAGACGAAAAGGCTAGAATGATCCCTATGGTAAAGTATTAGAGATG